TTTTTTTCTAATCACTCACTTTGATCATGAGGGTTTCGGTATACCATACAACTCGGACAATTGGCTGATACAGATGAACCTTCTCTACCACAATTTGGTCCTGAACATTCATAACATTCAAATGATGTCTGTATCGTAGTGGTCACAGTTGTAGTGGAAGTAGTTGTTAGTGTTGTTGTTATGGTAGGTAATGTAGCAATCATGGCATTAATCGAATCCAAGTCTTGAATGAAACAGTTCTAATTTTGTTCATCTGTTCAATTAATTAGTTACCTGCTTCACCAGTAAGTACTTTTTCTGCACCAATTCCATTACATTGATTTGATGAACAAAAATATGCCTTTCGTCCATCGTAGTCATCAATAGTACCTGGTGATCCACAACCTGATTTACAACATCGTCGAACAACATTATCTTAATATTTCAAAGAAGAAAGTTCTTGTTCGAGTTCTTCGTTTCACAAATGTACTTACTGCCGTCATTTGCATTAAGGTAAACTATACATGTTTGACAATCTGAAACTAGTGTTGCCTCGTTAACAGCACAATCTGGATTATGCGCAGTACAATCAAAACAATGTAATGATGATCTTGTCTCTTTTCGTGCTGTTCTTAAATGAATTCGTTTGTGAGGTTTTTCTTTTTTAATAACTGAAATTACTTCTATTATTGATAATAAAAATACTGAATAACTTTACCTAAAAGTTGTGAATCTGAATGAATACCATTGCATCTATCTTTCGAACAAAAGTATGCTTTATGACTATTTTTATTATTATTACAATCATCCAAACAACAGCTTCTCACTATTGTACCTTTTTAAACATTTTGATAATCAATTTCATTAGAATTAATTGAAATATCTTTTTTTCCTTACCATTATTGTTTTCATTTTGATAGATCATACATTTTCCAGCACAATCAACGATATGATGAGTTTTTCCATGTCCACAAGATTGATCTTCTGAACATTCATAGCATTTCAAACTTTTACAAATAGTTGGATAAGTTATGAAAGCGGCAAACAATAGAATAACCACAGCTGGAGATAGTATCATATTTTTCTTTCGGGACTGAAGTAGTCGATTCTTATAAGTTGTCTTATTTTATTAATAAAATACTAAGCTCCACCTCCATTTTATTTTTCTCTTTTATCAAGAATATGAAAAAAAAAACATTTTTATTGACAAACACTTAAGAAAGTGTAGCTTGACTGTCTTCTTCAGTTTCACTTTCTTCCTCTTCAACAGGTAATAAGACACCTGGTTGAAGACTATAACTTGATTGTTCAGGCTCTGTTGTAATTGTAATTGGTTCTTCCTGAGGTGGTGGTGCTTCATTATGTGGAAGTCGATGTTTTTTTATTTTACCAGTTTTACTATCCGGATGCCATAATTCTGGTGACCAAACATCAGGCACATTATTACCATCAGCATTAGTATCAGCAACACTTTGAATATAATTTGTATAAGTCGTAGTTGATTTATTTTCGTTGTCAGCAGGTGATGGTGTTGATGGCTAGAGAAGAAATCGAAATATGTTTATTTTCAATTAAATCAATAACCGTCTACATATAGCAAAGATAAGCTTTTCAATTATTTCCATTACAAGACACATATAGTCTATAGGGTCATAGAGTATTCTTGTTTATCAAATTATTTAGGATCATTTCAAGTAACTGAAGCTTTTGATACGAAATGAAAATTAAAGGAGGATTTACACTAGTTGAGTAATATCTGATTTCAGTATCTTTCTCATAAAAAAAAAGCGCACACGTGAAAATATTTAGCGATCCTGTTCTATATCTCACTCGCATTCTTTTTCGAACTTTGGAAATGTATTTATCATACACTGAGATGTCTATGAATGATCCAAAGCTTATGAATGTACATCATAATTGACATAAGAATTCAGTTGAATTTGGAATGCGTGAATTAATTTTAAAAAAGTCTCTTAAATAAAAAAAAATTTATATTCTATAAACAAGATGAACTAATTGATTTAGGCAAGAGTTCACAAAATAAAGTCATATTAAACACCATAAAAAAAAATGTTAATGTTTTCTCTGGTTTGTTTTTCTTTTACTGTATTATCAAAAAATTTAGCAAGAATGATTATGTATCATATACCATTAATTGTAGTATTAAGACAATAAATTTTACTTTCAATTTCATTAGCGCTTACAATCATTGATTATGCTCTAATAACATAATTATAAGACACACATGTGATGCAATTCACCCTTGTTTTTAAATATCGTCCACATCAACTCCCTGCTCGTTTGAATAAATACTTTAAAAAAAGAATAACATTTTTTCAAAAACTTTCACCAATCATTCAATGTCCCTATGTCTCAGAAATAAAATAGTGAGGGTATGGATCTTTGCTTTACTCACATCTGTATCACCACATCTCGTTTTTTTCTTTACAGAATTATAAAACATTATTCCAATCTCAACTAAAATTTTAAACTCACTTGTTACGTGTATAAATGAAAATGATTCGTAAAGATGAAATATGGCTTTACAAAAAAAGTCAACTTACTTTATCTATTAATGGTGCAATTAATCGTTCCATAGCAGCTGTTAAACGTAGTTCTTTTTCTAAATTGATTATTTTTTCCAATATTGTATTTTTTGTATTTAATTTTCGAACTTCATTTCGAATTTCTTGTACTATTGGAACATCTTGACTTAGATTACAATGATAAGCTTCCAATGCTTCTTTTAATGATCTAATAAAAGAGAAAATTTTGTTTTTTTTTTTTATTGAAAAATTTTCTTCTTTCTTCTTACTGAACAACAGCAGGTTCTTTTTCAACTAAATATCGACTTTGTAATGTATCAATAATATCTTCACTTGTTTTTTCTAATAGAACAAGAGCATTTGGTGATGCTGCTCGTACTAATGAACTTTTATCATATCGAACAGCCCATAAAAGAACATTTCGACATTTTGCATTTGTCATTCCATATAAACCAAGTGCTAAATATATTATTAAAAGAAAACAATATATATATATATATATATATGTGAAATATTTCAAGAAATTTACCTTCAACAGCTGAATATCGAACTTTTTCAATGGGATCAAATTCAATACGATCAATAAGTAAATTTCTTATTGTTTCATCACGTAATTGTAATTTATATGTTGTACGACATGCATGATCACGTACACTAACATGATCATCTTTAAAACATTTTAAATATGGTTGCATTAATTTAGCTGTTAAAACACCTGAAAAAATATTTTTATTAATAGAAACAAAATGGTAAAAATATTAAATATTTCAATAAACAAACCAAGATAACCAATAAGTTTAAGTGCTTCAACACGATCTTGCCAATGATGACTTTGTAAACGTAAAACAACTTCTTCATGTACTGCTTGACCACAACCACATTTACCTAATGCTTGACCAGCTACACGGCGTACACTACTATTCATATCTTGCCACATAAGATGAATTAATTTTTGTGTTATATCCTATTTAAAATATTTTATTTTAAGAAAAAAATTTTTTTTTTTTGTTAAAATTATTTACCTTATTTGGTCGAGATTTAAGTAATGGAAATAGTTTACAAGCAACTATTCGATCATTAGCATCAGCAGAATTTAAATATTCACCGGCTAAACTATGTACGAGATTCTATCGAAGATACAAAAAAAAAAAAGGAATAAATTTTTAATTCAATTTTTATTTTTATTTACCGTTCGTTGACTTAATTTAGCTAATGCAAGAATAAGTTGTTCACGTGTTAATTCATCTTCAGCGTCAAAATAATTTTTTAATAATTCATGTATTACATCTGATGTTGAGTAACTAAGACTAGCTAAACATTGTGCAGCTGTTAATTTATCATCAGGATTACCATTAGCAACACAAGAACGAAGAATATTTTCTACCTAAGTAGCAGATGAAAATATTTTAATAAAAAAACTTCTTTGTTTTTTTTTTTAATTTCAAATAATACTTGTGGAGAAAAACGATGTAATGTAACAAGTGCAATAGCAGCAGCTGTTCGTACACGTTCTTGAGAATCATTAAGTAAAGATTCAATAGATTGAAGTAATTTTTCAGGAAGAAGATGAACTTTTAAACCGAGATCTATATCACAAAAAGGCGCTTTTTATAGCATTTAAACCTTTTTGTTTTTAGTACCTATTTCTTTTTGAGTAAGATATTGAGCAGCTCGACTACAAACAACAATAGCAGTAAAACGAATCTATCCAAAAAACAAAAATTTAAATATAATATTTATTAATCACACACACAAAAAAAAGAAACAAACATGTGGATGAATATCATGTAAATCTTGATATAATTCTTCAACATCAGCATCAAGCCATTGGCTACCAACTTGCCATTTACGTCTCCATTCTTAAACATAATAATCAAAAAAAATCTATATCTTAGATAAATATTCTAAAATATTTACCTTCAATAATTCGACTAATAGTTGTATTTGATTTTAATATTTGATGCAATCGAGAATCTGGTGTTGTTGGCATAAGCCATGAAAGTGATAAATCACTAACATCCGGTGGTCGAGGTGGATGCTAGAAGATATAGAAAAAGATTTGTTTCTTTCTTTTTTTTTTATATATTTAACTTTATTTTAATATTAAAATTAGTTCAAGCAAAAGAAGAAGAAGAAGGAGAGATACTAAGAACACATAAAATAACAAAAAAACCTGAGCAAAAAAAGCTTGAATTGCTGCTGCTCTATTGATTTCATGATCTGACATGGGCATTTGCAGGTGAGAACTCTAAAAATTAGTGCAAAAAAAAAATGTGATTTTGTGTAAAGACACATTTAATTTGTGCTAGAAATGTATATAGGAATATTCAAATAGGATAGGTCAATTTTTTGTGATAAAAATACCATATCTTTGACTTCAGGTAAAGCTTTCCAACGACGAAAACCTCGTGCTGGTTTTCGTCGATCAAATGCAGCTGATGAATCAATTTGAAGTGCTAAATTAAATTAATAATTAATTATTCTAATATTAACAATAAAATTTTTTTACTTGTAGCAATTGAATCAGGATCAGGTGGAAGTTGTTTTTGAAGAACTTTATCAAATTGAAGTTTATCCGAAAGAACAATAACACCAGGTTCATCTGTTGGTTTATGAATATTATTACCTAAATAAATATTATTTGTTTTCTTTCCTTTGATTATATATGAATTAATGTCTTGGTTCTTTTTTTACCAAGAAGCATTGCTTGTTCATATGGATGATCTGTTCGATAGACTGTACTTAATATTTTATTTGACATTATATCATAAAATGATGTTTCACGACGTATTGCTGTATTTCCAGTAATTATTTGTTGAGATGGACGAGTATGTGATGCTGCTAATTGAAAATAGAATATTTAATTATTAAAAAAAAAAAATTAGATATTTTTTAAATCGTTTTTACCATCTTCTTTTTTCTCTTTTGCTCGTCGTCGTAAACCTCGTGGTAAACGATAAAGTGGAATTTCTCGTTTAGGCACATCAGCATCTGTTTCTGGTATTTGACTTTGTAATCTAAATAGAAAAGTGATGTTTAGTAAATATATTAATAAGTATTTTCTGTTTAACTTTTTTGAATCATGTTCTTCGGCTTTTTTCTCTTCATCATCAGTCGTCGGTACCTAGAAAAATGATTATTATAGAGAAAAAAGAAAACAAGATACGAATTCATTCAATCATATTACTAGTTCCATTTCTTGTGGATTTGGTAATTTTGTGATGTTATATGTTTTTTTTAAATATTCAATTAATCGAGCTCGACGATCATCTATAAATAAAATCAAGTACATAGAATTTGATCTAATCTTAAATTATAAATGTTTAAGGTCAGAATATGTGTTAATAAAGATTAATGTTTAAATTTAAAATAAACAATACTCTTTAGATCGATTTCAAAATATAATATTTATCTTTTTCTCCACAAGAAAACTTTCTTACGAGGGAAGTCTTCCAATTAATAAATTGCTTTTGACTCATGACTATGTGCATTATGTAGACTCGAGCGATATATAAGACACACTATTGTCATAGTTGTATCTTAGGAAATTCGAAAATCAATTTTTCTGTTACCACAGAACTCATTTAAAAAATACCGTATTTCTGTAGCAATATACTAAGGAAACGAATTCTCTTCAGAGTATTCATAGCTCATTTTGGTCTACATAATACACACAGTCTCAACTCAAAAGCGATCTATCAGTTGGAAGACTTCCCTTGTCTAGTGTTGACTAGTGACTATTAAAAGAAATCCTATCAAAAAAAAAACAATGTTGTTCCCTATGTTTTTAATTCAATCAAAAAAATTGAGTTTATTAATTATTCACTAAACAGAAGAACTATATGACTTGCTAAATCTAGACTTAAGTTGTGAGAATTTAAATTCATGTCGATAAATTGATAGTTACATTCAAACAACATCTATCTACTTACCATCATGAACATGTTTTAAAATAATAAATTTAGCTGTATTTTCATCCATATGTTCAAACATATATTTATCCCAATTTCGTTCCATTTGAGCAAAATCTTTTTCAGCTATAATTCGTGCTTGTTTTTCAATATTATCATGACCACGTCGTATTCCACTTGTAGTTTCACTAGTTTCTTCTGGTGATTCCGATCTTGTAGTAGGTGTTGAATGATCATCTATAATTTCTTCTTTAGATTCTTGAATATGTTCATCATAATCATCAACTTCAGTCATATAAAAAAGTGGTTGTCGTGGTCGAAATTTTACTGGTTCAATTGAAATTGGTTTTTGTGCTAGCATTCGACGTGCATGTTCCCATCTTGCTTTAGATAGAGTTAATGGAACAATTGGCTGTAAACGATGAGGTGGTCGTGGCGAACTACTTATTTCACGATTTGGAGTATATAATGATCGACCATTATAATTTGTAAATGATATAGTTGATGGACAAATTTTTTGTACAACATCAGTATTAAATTCAAGGCCACTACTAACAAATGAAAGTAGATTTGATTCAACTGGTTTTTTATCATTTAAAAATGGATTAGGTTTTATTAATTTCTAATAAAAAAACAAAAAAAGATTGAAAATTTATATAGTAAGAAAAAATAAATAATAGTATTGTTGCTTCTTTTTTCTTCTTTACTTCCGGAATAGGAATATTTGGTAAAGATTTTATCTTTGTTGTTGTCATTAAATAGGAAGATGATTTTTGATTAATATAAAAATTTATTTTTATTTATAATTGTAATAACAAGAATCTATTTTCAATTCATTTTTATTCAAGTTACCTTAGTAAATCCTCTACTCTACTTTTAAAATAAGAATTATTGGTCATTATACACCAATCTCTATCGTCAGAACGAAATATGACGTCATGTATACGTACATCTGTTGTCACCAAATAAATTACGCAAGACTAAACCAAATTTTTGTTTTCTTTTTTTTATGCAATTGATGAAATTTATTTTTGTTTTAAGATAATGACCGATAGAATGGATACTAGTATGGAATATCCGTCATTTGATCTTCAATCAACTCATCTTTCATTTGAGGTAGAATTTCTTCATTACATTCACAAAAGAGAAATTAATAAAACACGAAATTTAATTAATTTCTTTTTCTTTTTTTTTTGTTCATTTAGGAACGACGATGGTTATTCAAACAATATTATTTATATAAATTAGATAATTTAATACAACAAATTGGTGCTCTTCACAAAGCAATTCAGGGATATCAACAATGTAGGTAGATATTTTAAAATATATGTTTGTTGTTCTTTTATTAAAATCAGAAAAAATATCTAAATTAATTATTTCAAAATATCATAGTTTAATTAATAAATTTTATTTACGAAAACTAATAAATAATCTTTAGGAAAATTATAATTTGTTTATTTTCTAAACAAAATCAGTAGGAATATTCTGAATTAGTTCTAATTCAAGTCTTGTTAATAGAGACCAATAAAATTTCATTATCTATCTGTCTAAAATTTAATGATTTGAAGTTTTTACTATTAGAAAAAAAACAATGAAATAGAAAGTATTAATAGATATAAAAGACGATATTTTTCACTGAAGATATTTTCTCAATCATTGAATAGTACTTCGAAAATTATATCATGTTGGATTCAATCATCATTTTTCATGAAAATTTTAAGATCAAAATTAGAATCCTAGCAGACAAAGATGAATGATTCAATAACACTATCATGATGTATTTTCTATAAACATTTGACTTCACCTAAACGTCATGAGTATTGCAAATGTGAGGAGGATCGAAGAGGCAATCCCATTCTCTTCTCTCGTCTCCGTCAATTCCGACGATCTCGGGACATTCCTACTAAAATGAATAATGAAAATTGTTATTTTTTATTGAATTTTCCAATCAGAATAATTAATTTAAAATTCTATTTAGTTTCTATCATACCAGCATCATTATCACCTTCATCTATGATAGCAGAAGTACGCTTGGATGACAAACATCCGCTATATTATGTTTGTATTATAAATATTTTTTTTTTTATAATTTTCTACTAAATTTTTTATTTATTTAATTAGTCATCTGTTGTAAATGGTCGTACAGATAATCAAATAGATCAATTTCGTCTTCATTATCAACAACTATTTCAATTAGTATTTAATGATTTATGTACAGATTTAAATTATCGTATATTCATTATTATAATTGAAGGATTTATTTTCTATTCATCTCAAACGGCAGTAAGAATCTAATAAAAATTTTATTAAAACAGAAAGAAAAACTGTTCAATATATTCATTAAATTTAGATTTATATTTCTAGAAACAATATAAATCATTATTAACACATGAAATGCATAGATGTTTATCATCATTTGATATATATATACGATCACGTTCATCAAAACTAATTAATCTTTTATCATTTCTAACACAATTATCAATTTCATCATATACAATTGTTCATACACATTATGAAAATAATATTGGTATACTTTTTCAACTTTTACCTAAAATTCAATATTATTTAACTCCAACAACAGAATATAATTCAATAATAGCTGTTGATCAATATGCTAAACATATTATTTCACCTGAAGAACTTCGTTTTATTGATTATACTATGAATTTAAAAAATAAATCTCATACAGGATTTGTACAGCAAACACCAACAAATGATACTCCTGTGACATTTGGATTTAATCTGAATGGATTAATAAGAGGGAAAAATGGATCCACGACACCTTTTCCACTTCCTTTTCAAGTTTATCATTCATTACCAATTATATATCCATATGATAATAGTAAGTCAAAAACAATAAATACGTTATATAGAACAAAAAAACAACATGATGGATGATTTTTTTTGTTTCTTTTCATATTTTTAGATATGATATATAGTCAAAAATATCCTGTATTTTGGACAGGTGATGGTCATACAAATGAAAATAATAATGCTTTATTTCAAGTAATTACAGTTGAACAAAATTCAGCAGAATTTTTATTTGTTCAACGATTATTTTATAAAACAGTTGCTGAAACTGATATTAATATCGCATTTGTAAGTATTTATTTAAATTATATAAAAATAAAATAGAAGAATATTAACAAGGAAATAATTAGTTTTTCAATATATTTCAATGATCTTTAAAAAAAAAAATAATGTTTGTAATGAGATTTCTTTATTTTGTTTACTTTCTTGAATTATTTAACTGTATAAATCAATAATACCTATTGAAATATATTAATATGAAAACTCTGAATAGTTCATAAAAGAAGCGAGTTAGAAATCAAAAACAAAATTTATAAAAATTTCGGTCGAATTTATATCAAAATAATATTTTCTGAAAATTTTGAGATAAAAATGATCATTATCTTTAAATAAACAATCTTTCTTACATTCGAATCTCATTATTTCGTTTACTATATTCTTGATTTAAATAAAATCTAAATCGATTGATCTAGCAAATGAGTTCTATCGAACATATTGAATACAAATATAACGGAATCGAAAAAAACAAATCTAAGAAAAATATTGTTTTTTTTTCCATTTTATTGAAAAACAAGGACTGAGAAGATTTTTAAGAATTGACATATTTAGACAGGACTCACGGTCATTAAGTACATATTGTGAGACTTCGCAAGCTTTAATCTCTGTGTCATAAATAAAATTTTATTTTCCTCCAGGTAAAAAAAAAATTTAAAAGTAAGTACAAAACTGTTCGCGCGTTATCATTCTTTGTTCAACACAACAAGTAATAATGATGTTATTAAATATATTCTTCAAAAGAGCAGAATATGTCTGAGAAAATACATTAATTTACTTTGAGAAATCTTCATCTTAAAGTACCTAAAAAGTTCTAATTCTAAAATCTTGAAAAACTTCAATGTTTTTAGTTATATAGTATAAAGTTTGAATCAAATTTAGATGATTGAAATATTTTTAGTATTACATAAAAGTTCTTCTCTATTGACTATGACCGATTTGTCATTTGTACATAGTAATACGAGATAGTAGTTTTACAATTTGGACTATTCGTGTCAATTTTCGAGGTCCTATATAATTGACTTTGTCATTGAGTTTGATAGAGCGCAAAATTGTTTACAAAATTATGTGGTTTGAGTCTATCAAATATGTCAACCCAATACGAGTCTATTAGTTAAAAGATTGATTATACTCATTTTGAGTTGACATGTTTGATAGCCTCAAAACATATCATTTAGTAGAAAATTTTGCGGTCTATCAGACTGAATGACAAAGTCAATTATATAGGACCTCGAAAATTAATGTGAATAATCTAAATAGTGAAACCATTTGGTATTATTGTGAATAAAAAATTGATCACAATCAATGAACAAGAACTTTTATCTATAATGAAAATATTTCAATTGTCTAATTTAATATATAAACTTTGTACTATGTAACCAAGAAAAATAGGTCAAAGTAAATTAATGTACTGTGTCATGCACGTTCTGCACTGCTTCAGGACGTCTTTAGTAATAGATTTATTGCTTGTCATATTAAACAAAGCATGATAACACGCAAACGTATTTTATTTGTTTTTAAACTTTTTTTCTCTTGAAGGAAAAAAAATAAAAAGCTTATTTATGACGTAAAGACTAGAGCCTGCAAAATCTCTCTATGTGCACTTCGTGATCATAGATCTTGTCTAAGCATGACAATCATTAAAAATTTTTTTAGCTCTTATTATTAAATAGAATGAAAAGAATATTATGTCAGAAACTTGAAACTAACGATCTTTTATTAGAATACGAAATTCAATTTGTTTTGTTTTGGATTAGATTGAACGTATAGAAAATCCTCATTTATGGGAAAAATTTTGTGTACATCGTTCATATATGCGACGGAAAAATGATTTAAAAAATCTAAATGAAAATTGGTTGTTTCATGGAACAAAGTCTGATAATCATCATCATATAATGGAACATGGTTTTAATCGTTCATATTGTCGTGATTATGTTTATTATGGTCGTGGTGTTTATTTTAGTCGTTATGCATGTTATTCATGTCATTATAGTGATCGTCAAGATTTATCTTTTCTTTTTTTATGTCGTGTACTTGTTGGTTATCATACAATTGGTAGTAATGATATTCGTGTACCATCAAAAATTACTTTATCAAATGGAAAATCTATACAAGCAGATTCAACAACTGATGATAAAACTCCATATACAATTGTTTGTACATTTCATGATGATCAAAATTATCCAGCATATATTATAACATATATGAATAAAATGAATTAAGTTTTAAAAGAATTTTATTTTATTTTGTTTGACATCATATAAATTTTTTTTTTATAAATATAAGTTTTCGATGTATCTGTTCCTTTTCATAATAGGAAATAAAAGAAATTGACGAGTTGAATGTCACAACTAATAAAAATGATTTATTATGATATGAAAAAAAGATATTAAATAAAAAGAAAAAAAAATAAACTTTTGATCTTATCTATTTTTATCCTTAGAAGAAAAAATAGAGACCTGCATCGAAGTTATTTTTAAGTATCGGTGGGAATCTTCTAAATTACCTACCAGTAGATTATGTTGAAACCTACAGATTTTTCTGAATGATGAATTTTATTCTTTAATATTCATATTGCCAACTGATATATTTTCAAGGTTCGGTTCATGTCTTCTCAAGACTTGACAATAATGGAGAACAGTGACAGTTAAGGTTGACTCCCACTTCTTCTTATGGATGTAGACCTTGAAGAGACATCAATTGAGTTTTGAAAACATATCACTTTTTACAGTAAACATCAAAGAATAAAATTTTTAGTTAAAAAAAATCTCTTATGTGAAATCTCATTTATTAGTGAGACATTTAGTTGATTCCGATGCAGATCTGTAAAGAAAAGATGAAAAAGTGTTACTAGCTTGAATGATGTTTAGACTCATCTTATACACTGACTATATTCTTTTTCTTTTCCTGCAATGTTCTTCATATATTATATATATATATATATATATATATATATTTGATGAGTATTAATGAAAGGAATAATGTCGCATTATTCTTTCTATAAAATTTCAGGACGCAATTATAGTGACGAACAAAAGTTTAGAACAGGTGTATTTTTAAGTTTTCTTCTCAGTGATAATAGTTAGTGAGAATCTTTAAAAAAATACATTTGTGCAACTGGAAGGATTCTCTATTAGAATTGGGAGATCGGAAGACTTCAGGGAAACTGTTTGGATGAAGGTCTGCTTTTAGAAAAATATTTTATTCGATAGAACAAATATTTCTGAGCAAGATGAGACGTCTTCGACCTCTCTATGACCTTTCTTTATCGAAGCGCATTCAGTTTACAGAAAGCTTCAAAGTGTCAAACGTGACAAAAACATCACAGTTTTCAATAAAGGAAGAGAAAAATTTTTCTTCACCCATCCTTGTAAATTGAATGCAGTTCGATGAAAGAAGATCATACAGAGATCGGAGATGTCTCATTGTGTTCTATCAAATGAAATCTTTTCTCTAAAGCTTCAAATGAAAGCCAAAAAGCTAGTTGTTCGCAGACCGTCATCCAAGCAGAGTTTGGTTGAAGTTTTTGATCCTAATAGAGAATCTTTTCAGCTACACAAATGCTTTTGTTTTTTAAATTCTCCCTAATTATAATCATCGAGAAGAAAACTTAAAAATACAACCGTTCTAAACTTATGTCTGCTACTATATATATTCTTTCTATTAGTTGATTCATGCTGTGATAGAACACTTGATCTTTATAGAAATCTCATGTAAGTATGTAGATGTTATTATTAAATCATGCTGAGATTAATTTATCAAAAGACGAACTTGTTAGATTATGATATAACATAACAATTAGTCAAATGTATAGTTTTGATTTTGACAAAAATAATTTTATTTGACTCGTATTTTACAAATATATTTAATGATATTGTGGATTCGATAGGCCTGAAAAAATAGTCTATAATAGGCCTTGTTTGTTTTGTCGAGTTTCTAAATCGATAATTGATTTATTACATTGCTTTTTTATATTCTCGATCATCTTAGAATAGATAAAAGGAAAAAAAAATAATGATTAATCAAATAATGTTAAAGCTAGGTCAAGTGAGAACGTGTTTTACAACTGTTATTTTTTTGTTCTTTGTAGAAAATAAATCTTTTAATATGAAAATAGACTCTGTCTAGTTGATATTTATTCAAAGAAAAAACAAACATAATTATTAAAGATAAAATTAATTAGTATATAAAAAACATTCTACCAATCATTATTTATTATCTTTAAGTAATTGGAGCGATCTTGTAAGAGAATATATAAATTCTTATCTATAGTAATGATTGAATTAGTTACTTTTTTTAGTCATTTAAGTAGCGACTATATTAGGCTCATGCAATTTTGCACTTGAAAAAGTCTTTAAAAAAGCATCTTGAAATATAAAGTACTTTGTCATGTAAAAAACACAAGGTTTCAAATTCTTCGAGAATTTCAACACCTGTTGTATTATGTTATTCTTTTTTTTTTTTTGCTTATTGTGAAACTTATTATCTCCAGAATAAATTTTTTTTGTTGTTGTCTTCTTTCATATTAACATAATTAACTATTTAAAGTGATACCTAGGCTGATTGTATATTTACTGTCAGTCCAGTGATTCTTTTCTTAAGCGACCTTATTGTCAACATTCTTTTGATCTTTTTTTTAATGAACATTTATATATAAAAAAACAACAACGTCTTCTGTCATCATTTTTCTTTTGATAAAAAATAAATAAAAATAATATCGACATTGAAAAGAATAATTTATTATTTATATATTAGTTGTTTTTTTCATGTCATTGCAATTCAAGTTTAGCTATCAATAATCTTTTGATTAGAAAAAAAGAAAATGAAAATACTATCAATGTCAATCATTGGTAACGTATTTATATGTCGCGACATAGAGATGATTATATTCATCACAAAATGTTGCTCTCTTTTTTGTTTTTCTTTGTTTTGTTTTATTTTTTTCCCGTCTTTTTAACATTCATCCCTCGGTGTTGAAAAATCATACCTTGAAGACATCTCAGTCATCGTTTCTTCCTCCTTCATCATTTGGCAACTTGTTGTACTCTTCTAACAATATTAGTATAAATGAGCACTGTGTACTACAAGTCATCATCATTATCATTGCCTCCATTTTTTATCTCCTTAGATGTGAATGTACTTCACTCGTCTGTTGTGGCTCTTCTCTCTCACTTCCCCTGTTCTTTTCTTTTTAAATGTGTGCGCTCGGGAAATTATGTCATCGGAATGCATACAGTAGTAAGTAAGAAAAAAAAAAGTGCATTCACATGCAAGTACATGCGGTTTGAAAAAGACAAACAAGACACATGATCCTGTTATTGCCTATCATTCCTGCTGTAGTATGAATAGAAATATTCTTTGTATTCATCTAAGACCTTCATTTATTATGATTATTACTATTAAAAAACAAAGAAATAAAAGAACAAAGGTTTAAAAAAAAACATGCCTACAATTAATAAGTATGAATCGTGGTTTTATATTAATATTGCTTGACTGAATTCTATTTCCTTTTGTCGCAAAAAAAAGTAACCTTTCGGTTCTAATTATTATCATGAGTGCTCAAATTATGTGGAGATATATATTGACGTCATTGAATAATAAACCCTAGTCTTGTCATTCATTGGTAAAAAAAATGAGTTTTTTTTTTACGAGTTATTTTGCCTTTTGTCTCGTCTACGTGCGTTCTCTAAATACAACTGATCATCTATATGAAAACATATAATGTAGTCGAGACGATGACAATAATATTAATGTAAAAAAAATTAGTATTTTTTTCTCTTCTCTTATTTATTACAACACACACATGCATGCATATAATACATGCCTGTCAATAGAAGTCAATTTTTTTGTAGATAGTCAGTCGGAAACTATTTTTAATTAAAAAAAAAAAGAACGGCGGCAACGATAGATTTTGTTTTTTTTTTTTGAAAATTTAACACAATAGATAATAATAAAAAGAAATTTTTTTTATTGAATATTGTGTTAATAGATTTTTCTTTTTTTTTTCCGTTTCCTGCATGTTTATCCGATTAGGAAGTTGAGAATAGAAAACAGAAAAAGATTTCATTTAAGAAATTTGACTTTTTTTAATTAGGTTTTCTCTTGTCTCTCGCAGTTGTTGTATCAGAAAATGTCAATACAAAATATATATATATATATATATATATATTTACATACTTCTTTATCCATCTTTCAAATATAGAAATGTTCCGAGAGAAAAGAATCAGTAGTAGATGTTTGAGTATTAGACATTAACAAAATTTAAGTAAATACTCATTATCATCGTCTAACAAATATATTGTAAATATACATACTTTCATATTTTCAAGAGTATCAGAGAAAAAAAAAATGAGTAATTGAAGCGATCTCATATAATCAAGACTTATTTGTTTAGCTTTTTTCTCTTATATACAAGTTTGTATATCTTGTTATTTCTTTTAAAATTTATTCTATTACATATATCACAAAATCTATTTTTTGTTCGTTTAAATTATTAAATATTTAGTTTTCTTATAATAATATATGAAAAAGTATATAGATGTTTTTAATGTCATACACATACGTATATGTAAGACAAATGTTTATTTTGAAGTCAAACATTTTTAAACAGGTAAGATAAATTTTTTTGTTTTTGGTTAAATATATTAAAATGAAATATAAACAAGAAGATAACTGATCTGGTTGATCCGTATAATTCTATGAACTCTCGTCTATTAGATAGATATAGACAATGACAGGATGAGAAATAAAGAAAAGAGAGAAACCAAGGACGATTTACACACAATAACAACGCTTTTACTACTATTACTACACGTCCATAACTAACAGAACTACAACGAGCTCGATCAAATAATCATAATCGCATTCTTCTTCTGTCTTCTTCTTCTTTTTTACTGCTTCTTCTTTAGCATCGTCATCAATGCACGTCATCATCAGCCTAAAAAGTCGTTGTCGTCATTGTCATCGTCATTGCGACTGAGGTGCATTCAGTAAGGGAAGAAATCAACCATAGTCGCATCAGAGAGAAAAAAAGAGGAAAAAAAAAGAAGAAGCACAAAAAAAAACTCGTCAAGAGTCTGGTCGAATTGTGATAATCAAAAAATGTGTACCCACGTCTTCAAAAACAAGAAAGTGCCTATACATATCCTTCTTCTCATTATCTATTAACTGTTTATCGTCGTAATATTTTAAAAGAAAAAGTAGGATATATTCATGTCGTGACAAATACAATGAATAACATTACCTTTATCAATTAGTCTATATATCTTTTAATAGGAATTTGAGATTGAAAAGAAAAACAAATTATTGTTTTCTTTAATTTCACACATAAATTCAGCAAGATCAATAAAGAATCAATATAGAGACACAAGTATAACAACAACAAAGAAAAGAAACTAATTGCTAAATAAGATCTAAATTGAAAACAAGACTGTAAATAAATAAATATATATATATATATATATATATATATATAGAGCATTGAATTCCATATTAATAGCCGAGTTGACTTGCCCCATGGTAACATCAGTAGAATATTACAAGAAGAAAAGGATTAGCATTTTTAGCACTATTACTAGTGCGTGAGCGTGCATGTATGCATCCATTTGTGTGCGTGCTCTAATAGTGAATTTGCATGTTTTTCTCCCTAGTAGTTCTTTTCTTTTCTCTCTCTCACCCTCTCTAGATGCTGCACCTCCCTGAGTCTTGACTAATTGGATAGTAGTTGACATATATTCATATATATTTTGCACTTGTTGTTATTGTTTCTTTTAGAAAAGCAACATTAATATAACGCCGACGAGCTGGCTTATTGCTAAGCTCTTCTTTTCTATTCCATTCAGTATGCGATGGTGTGTAGTAGTCACCTTAAAGCTAAGTGAGTGGAATATATTCAATTATCTTTATATATATATATAGAATAAATACTTTAGATACGTTCGATTTTTAATCAAATATCACTTGTGCATACTTTGTTGTGTATTTATTATGACAAGTATTTGTATAATTTTTTTCATACATAATCGTGATCAAATACATCATAAACATTTATTACGAGTAAACTAATTCAATTAAATGAGTTTATTATTATTATTATTATTATTCAAATGAATTCATAGGGTTTTCAAGCACATGGAACAAAAGCATCAGATGAATATCGAAAATTAATTGCACTTATACGTGAAACTCGAACAACACATTTATATCCACATGAAATTAATAGCGAAGTAAGTAGATTTATTTTTAAAAATAGTAATCATTTATAAAAAGTTTTGTTTTTTTAATATACACTAAGATAGAATATAAAGATCAATTATAATAAATGAAAAAAATAAAATAAAATAAATAATTGATGAGTATATATTTATTAGGCATTTCAACAAACACCATATCCGTCTTTCAATCCACATATTAATCCTTGTTCAAAACGATTTTATTTATCAAAATGTCCTATACGTAAGTTCGAATGTATATTTTATTATTTCAGTAAATTTAAAATAATTTCATATTTTAGTTCCTTATACAGAATTAATATTTGAATTTAATGATAATAATACAAAATTATTCGATGATCTTAATACATTTAAATCTATTTGTAAACTTGAATGGACTTTACGTAATTTTTATACAAATTGTTCAACAAATCATTCATGTTGTCAATTCATTGGACCAGGTAATAAATAGAAATTAAATAGAAATTTTCTTTGAAAAGAAGCATTCAAGAACAGCAAAATTTCCGAATCATTAACTAAAATACTCGAGATTTAATTCAAATAATAATAAAAAAAAACAAATAATCTATTATTTTTCTAGTTGGACTTCTTTTTAATGATCAATTAATATCATTCGAACAATGTGATAATATAACACAAAATGATCTTGATGAATATAATAAAGAATGGTTTTTATGTACAACATCATCATCGTCATGTTTAAATAGTAAACTTGAAAATTATTTAACTTATATTAAATCATCATCATCATCATTAATATTTAAAATTTATATATCAATTGAAAATAATCAAACAAAACTTTTACATCTCTATGATACAATATATAATTATAAACATAAAAAAATTTTTTATTTAAAATTTCTTAATTTTGATATTAATGATGAAGAAATAATATTTAATTATTATTTAGAAAAAAATTATTATTTAATTTATTTAACAATATGTCTTTATTTATTTTGTCTTATATTATTTATTAAAAATTTCTTCTTTATTTTAATTATTAATTTTCATATATTATTAACATATTTTTCATGTTTTATTATTTATTATTATTTATTTCATTTTCCAATAACAATATTAAATTATACAAGTATAATATTATATTTATTTTTTATACTTATTGATTCATATTTATGGTATACTTGTTGGTTTATAAATAAACATAGACGTGATGATTGTACAATACAACGTATTATTGAAAATTTGCTCACACAAACATTTTTTTATTTAATACCAAAAAATATAACAGCTATTATTACATTTGTTATTACATATACAAATCAAATTATAGCATTACAATGTTTTACAGTATTTTCTTTTTTACTTATATCAATATCATTTTTTATTTCATTTATTCTTTATCCAGGTAATTGAATCATATTAAAATATAATATTAAATAATTGTAAATAAAATAAGATATATATATATATATATGCATATTAATGATCGATATAGAATGAGATTGTTCGAGATTTTATTATCTCAAGGTTATAGTATCAATCAAAACAAAAAATAAAATAAAATAAAATCTCAGGAGAAAATATAAACCAAAATAGAATATTCGTCGACTAATTTGATTAATTCTTGGATTACAAATAAAGTACATTCTTAGTTTCTCAATGATTTGTAAATGTGAGAAAAAAATAAACGATCCGAATGAAATTGATTTGATAATAAGTGCAAAGCTATGTATGAAATCTTATCTTAATAATATTATTAATTTAGATTGAAAAATCGAATAAATCTTGCTGAGTTAAACTAGTGAACTATTCTGTTATTGAGTTTTGGTATTTAATAGAATCTGTAGTTTATTGTTTCTTTTTTTTTAAACTATTGTATATGACACTGTTTTCATTTGCGAACCGTTTTAATTATTAAAAAAAAATGATATCAGTTTATATGTATTTTTGAAATTAATTGATTTTTTATTTCAATTAGAAAGATTTTTAAAAAATTAACTATAAAGAATTCTTTAGATGTTATACAGAAATATACTGCAATAATCTTTGAAGAGATGCAAAGCACTTACTGTTATATATATATATATATATCTAGTGACTGATGATTATTATTTTTGATTAATCTGACTTGAGATCTATCAAATGGTAAACAAACTTCAAGATTTGTTTGAGTTATTGCATATAATCCCTAGAGGAAATAAACTGATTTCTGATGATAGAATTAGAGAAATTAATTTTTTGAATCTTTTCAGAAAACATTTGGCTAATCATTAGGGATTTCAAAAGTAATAGTATGTTTTAAGTTCAACAAAACTTTTATTTTCTATAAGTTTATTCATCTAGTATTGAACAAATTCGTATAAATTTTGATTTATTATTTTTTTTATAGCTTCATTTATATTTATTCTTCGTTATCAATCATCCATTCCAACAATGGAACATCTTTCTCATCGTTTTATAACATCTACAACAAATTGTTTTATTCATCGTATTGTTCCATATCTTATCGTACGATTAAAAGCATTATGGTTAATTTTACTTACTATAATATCTATCTTAGCTTTTTTAATTATATTTCAATGGCCAAAATTACAATTTAATGTATGTCGTTTAACATTTGATACATTACCATCTCATCATTTATCATCGAATATTTATGAAAATTCATTAAATAGCTTAGATATTGATGTAACATATTATATTGGTTCACATTGGGAAGTACCAAATGAATCATTAATACCACTCAGGGATATTCCTATACTTGATTATAATTCAGAAAATAAAATGACATCAGAACCCGATGGAATTGATACATTTGCTTATGCATTAAAACATAATTTATCACAATTAATACAATTTTGTTCATCATTATCACATCAAACAGATAAAAAATCATCTGTATATAAACATTATCGTCGTCATATATCATCACAAATACTTCACAATAGTTCAATTACTAGGTAAAAATATGATTGTATTCGTTCAAAGACTTGTATATTAAAACAGATAGAGAATAGGAAGACGATTAGAATGTGAGCAATGACTAGGTCTATTGTGACTATGCATGTGTTATATGCCAGCAAAAGAATAAATTTATTGACCTCAATATAAAGCAAAGCAAGTTCTTTCACCAAGTTCATTTCTTTACATTTATAAAAGAAGTATTCCGACAAACGTGATTAAGCATAAACTAGTAAGAGTTTTTTTTTATCGTCTTATTATCATCCATAGCTGATTAATAGAACAGCTATGTCATGTCAGTTGATATGACGTGGACGAGAAAACATTTGCAAATGATAAATTGCTTTCTCACCAAAAGCTACTGAATTGTGATTGATCGACCAAGATGATTTCGAATATGACTATAAGAGATAAGCCTATCGAGTTGTCTATAAGACAATAATGTTTTCTGTTTTCGAAATATGAACTTCAAATAAAATAATATCATCTTGAAGATTTTACAGATTGAAACGCTGACATGTATCTATTATTATATGACTGTATTTTCTGCGAAAAAAAGAAAAAGTTACTGTTTTTATAAAAACCTAAGGAGACTTCTTGTAGTTACATTCGGAATCAGCATGGTCGATAGGCCATAATCTATTAGCTTTTGATGAAAAAGTTATTGATCAGTTGAAAACATTTCTTCATCAATTATAGTCTTACAAATAATTGAATATGAAGTATATTCATTGTAGCTAATATCGAATCTAACAAGAGAAGCGCCCTCCCACTGATAAATTGTCTTTAAGTCGAGACTACATACATTGCGTGGGCTCAAATGAATTATGAATATCCTGAAAAAAGAATTCATGCTGTTAGTTTAATGAAGTATCGATACTATATTTTTACGGTATTTTTTTTTAAAATGAGTCTCGTGATCCTTCAAGATAGAATGAAATATTTAACTTATGAATAGTTTTATAGTTAATTGAAAATTATTATTCGTTTATTTTAAATTTGATCTTGAATTGAACATAAATAAAAAAAAAGAAAAAGATCAACTACATTTTAATTTTTTGTATTTTAGTACACCAATTATTTTAACTCAGGATAAAAATTTAAGTATAAATAATTTTCAATGTTTTGGTGATTTATTTTTATCGAATTCAAATTCTTCATTATTAACAAATACAAAATTTTCTTCATATATTTTATATCATAATAATCAAACAAATAATTGTACATTAATATGTTCATTAAATACAACAGAATATCAATATCAATGTATATTATGTTTAAATTCTTTATATTATTTAAAAAATAAATATAATGATTTATTTTTAATAAAAAATGGTTTAAGATTTATAAATGATGTACAAAATCCACGTTATTTATTTCAAACAATAAATTATAAATGGTTATTAAAAACAAATTTAAATAATTTTTTTGAATGGCAATATTTAATTGAAAATTTAAAAAAAAATTTTATTATTAAATTTTATTCAAATATTTTTGCACGTATGTCTTTTTGGTGGACAAGTGAAATATTTTCAAGTTATACAATTATGAAACAATTACAACAAGAAAAATCTTTTTTAATTATTATTAAATTTATTATTATATTTGTTTTTTTAACTTTATTTACTGGTATTTTAGGAATATTTGTTACATTAACTACATTATTAAATTTTAGTACTTGTATAGCTATATTTACTTTATTAAATTATAAATTAACAATTGAAAATCTATCTTATTTTGTTATTATACTTATTGTTTGTTTACAATATTCAATACTTTATTCAATTAGGTAATTGTTATTTTTTCTTTTTTTTGTATTGTTCGATATTATGACTAGAGTCATGTATTCATAAAAATTTGACTTGCTATCGACCGATTATGGATTAGAATAAATAAATAATTGATTATATTTATAATTAATTTTTACTGTAATTATGTTTGTTTTTCCAGATCTTAGAGAGTTATGTTTCATCTTATTTTTGTTTTTTATCGAGATTAGAGATGTGCAGGACCACGAGAAAAAAATTTGTCGAGACCGAGACTACGGGAAAGGAAGTTGCCATAATAGAACTAAAGAGATTGCAATTAAATATTCTATAATTTTAAGCGAATTATCTTATAAATCATATTAATCAGAACGTAATTCAAGAGTGATGACCCAACAAAGTGTTAATTGCCGATTAAATAAATCAAAAAAGACGAGAATTAAAGGATTTGTTTTTAGCTATAATACCAATAAAATCTGCAATAGTTTTCTCTAGACTATATAGGAAAACTAAAATTACTGTGACCTGGATCACTGAAAACGAATTCATCGATGTGTCTTATTAATTTTTTTGCTCTGAGTATCTCATAACGGATGTATAATGAAACTTCGTTGAAATTTGACTATGTTAAATACCATTATCCTCAGGTGGAACGATACGACAACTCGTTAGTTCAGTGTCGATATGGATTTCAGACTAACTCTATCTCTCGTTACTGGACCGGGATCAAATGAACTTGGTCCGGCATATCTCTAATCAAGATAAGTATCTGCATGTATTGATATCTGAATACTCGATTATTTATGTACTTAGAATTCAGAATATTCACTAGAATAATAATTTAAATATAAAGAATGACGTAGACATCCTATTTTAATCTATATATATATCACATTTAATAATGTAATTATAAGCTTAGAAACGTTTTTTTTTTCATATAATTGCAATTAATCCTTAATCTTTCAAAATATTTTTCTATAATGAATATTCTATTATATTAATAGTAACAAAAAGATTTTACGTTGTTTTTTTTTCTTTTATTTAAATAATATTTTTAGTTACAAATTAGCACCAACATTTTTTTTTCAACGTGAAAATCGTACAATGCATTCACTTCATCAATTATGTACAACATTATTTCAATATACATTTTCAATAATAATAATTTCTAGTCCTTGTTTATTTTCTTCATTACCATATTTATCAAAATCATCTATGGTTTATATAATATCATCTTTAATTAGTTTTATTTATTCAACATTTTTTCTTCAATCACTTCTATGTTTTTTTGGTCCAGCTGAACATACATGTTTTCTTATGCGATGGCGTTTAACATTTACACGTAATTTAAATTTACATACAACTAATAATAATGATACATCATTACGAAATACAACAAATAATATTACACGACGACATCATCGTACATCAACATCATCATATTTTGCATCATCATATTTTTCACAGATATTTACAGGTTCAACTTATTTTGAAAGTGATTATGGTGGTATAAATGAAAATTTAACATTATCATCAAGACGACGTGAAAGTTCACGTACTCATTCAACATCATATTTAACTAAACGTAGTTCATTATTAACAGGAGAATTAATTGAATTATATACACCACGTGCTAGTCTTTCACCATATCCTCATAATATTAATTATCATCGTCATAATAGACAATCATCTGTTGTACGTGGTATTCCATCAACTACACCAGCTCGACCACTTTATGTATCTCCATCAATATCACCTTATTCACAATTAAGTATACATTCACAGGGTCCTATTCGACAACGTTCACCATCTCCACATATTGTTCGACCATCACGATCACCATCTCCTCATATTATTCGACCATCACGATCACCATCACCATGTTCATTTATACCATCAACATCAACAATAACTACTCTTCGACCATGTTATTCAGCGCCTCGTCTTCATGCACCAATACATCGAACACAAACAACAAATATTAAACAAAATGATACACTTTTTGAAGAAACTCCATCAACAATTGAAAAACAAAAACAAAAAACAGTTACAATTATTCAACGACAAAATGCTGTATCATCAAAAGATGATATTGAACAAATATCAACAACGACAAATTCACAATTATCAGCTGCTACACGACGAAATATGTTAAAAGAAACAGCAATTGAATCGGATGATGGTCCTGTTTGGCTTAAACGATCAAATAGTAGTTAGATTTAAATTAGTTTATGATTATCAAATGTTAGATTGATATGTATAAGTTTGATCAATTGATTGTTTTCTTTTTTTCATATCTAGTCATAATCCTATGTTGTTATTATTCCTCAGTGTATGTATGTGTGTGATCATTTATTTTTATCAGATAATTATTAATTCATATACGTATACGTATACATATATATATTGTGTAGGTTAAATATAGTCATAATTTTCGATTTATTCAATTCAGAACGATTATAATATTAATTTGTTTTTTTGCTATCTAGGTTAATATCATATATACATTCTAGACATGAGCATGTTATTTTGTTCTGATTTCTTTTTATTTGCTTATTTGTACGGTCGATTTTGTTTTTGTTAAAAAAAAAATGAGAAATAAAAAATGGAATACTTTCTTAAATTCTTTTATGTAATGATGTCATTCATAATAACATCAAATCTTTGTATTTAAAGTCTTTTGAATAAATTATTAATACGAACTCTCAGAGCATAGATAATATATTAAATTTGATGTGTAGAATTTTTTTATTTTAAAAATTTTTTCAAAAGAATATTTAGATGTCGATCTATTAATATTAAAATAGTGTAAATTTTTATTCTACTTAATGTTGAATATATTATATTAATAATGATATAGTGAATGAAATAATTCAATGATTACTATATGTATTAAAATAATTATGTATTAGATCAGTTAAAAACTTGTGTTTCATTATTATCTTTCTCTCATGATTTACACTAAAAATTTTAATACAATGTGTTCTTCAGTTATAAATTAACATTATTATGAACTTTGACAATCTTCAGCAGTTTTTATCATAGACAATCTATAATATTTTCTTATAGAATCTAAAAATAGATCTTATATAATTAATGAAGTACTTATTCAACTTTATATGTAATAAAAATTTCATAAATATTGTCTACTATTTCTCTTTTGTATGTTATTTCACACGATATTTTTCCCATTTATGTAGACGTTTTTAGTATCTGATTCATATGATATCATACAGATTATTGTTAGTTTCATGCTTCAATAAATTATTTATCATGATCGAATCAAATAAAACGCTTGAGTGATAATCTCATTCAAATATCGTTACAAAACAAAAAGGACGTGTTACTACAAGCATTATTATATTTCTCACAAGAATATAAATACACTTGATTTATTCTTTTAACAATTCGCTTAACTATCATAATCAAATATCTTAACTACATTATGATATTAATAGACAATAGAATGAATCAACATTTTGTTTTCGTCAGAAAACTGCTATGACAAATAGAAAAAAAAAGAAATTTATGCTTTTGCTGATGCAACAGCACTCATCAATTGTTTGATAATGCTCATCAATGCAATAAAATCACGAAATTGAAGTGTACCATCATGATTTGAATCTACCATATCGAATAATGTTTGACCAACATATTTACTAAGAAAACCAAGACCCATCTCTTCAAGCATTATTTGAACATCTTCAACTGTTATTTTTCTGTCATTATTTTTATCTAAGGTTTTCCACTACATGGAACAAAAATAAGAGAAAAAAAATATAGATGAAATGAGATAGATAAGAATAAAACTTACAAGAAAATACATTTGTTTAACATTTCCAAACATTCCAACTTTCGTTGGAATATTATTTGAAGGTTTGATTTCATTTGAAACATTATAACCATGTTCAGAAAGTACTTTTTGAGCAGCATTTAAATAACTATTTAATCGAACTTTAGAACTATTTGCTTTTCCAATAGGCTCTTGCATATTGTTAGGTATTAAGCCTTGTAACCAATCATCTAAAGATTTTGGTGGTGGTTGTTCACTAAGATTTTTTGACCAATCAGTAAGCCAAGTTCCTAGATTACCAGTTACAGCAGAATCTTCACTAGAAGTAGTGCTTATTTCTGGTGCAGTATTGTCTGTGGATGGATGCATATTATCAGGTATCATACCGTGCATCCAACTTTGAACATCTATTGGTTGTTGTTTTTGTGGTTCTTGTTGTTTAGGTAAAGGTGGTTGAATTGGATCATCTAGACGAAGTCGTAAACCCATGATCCAACTTTGAACATCGGCTGGTGGAGCTATTTGTTCATCATTATTTGTTCGATTTAGATCAGGATGTTTAAATTCTTCGGTTAGTAATTCTTCTGTTTCTTGATGAAAATTTTTTACATATTCTTGAACATCAGATATACCTGCATTGACTAGCATACGATTAAGTACACCACTATCAATATCATTTTGAGTAAGATTTGCTAATTTTTCCATTTATTTGTAAATAAGAAAAAAAAACTATGAAGCAACTGGTGTAAATATCTGAAAATACTTGATTACTTTATAGGTAAAGATAAGGAGATGGCGTGTTACTACACGTGGTTTATCGTTTTTGATGAAAAAGAATAACAAAGAAAAAAATAAAAAATTACTCAGTAGTCAGTAGAACGAAACATCAATCTACACTATGATAAATATATCTGATTCATTCATCAAATCATCAATTAAAAATGACAATCATTGATTGCAAGGTTGAATAATTGACTAAATGATCATGTATAAAGTATGTTGAAAAGCAATGCAAATTCATAAGAAAGTTTAATTAAGATCATGACGCTAGCTTCGGAATCAATGACGACAATTTTAGTATTGCTTCATCATTTTTCTCCGTATTGTATATGAATAAATTTCGATTAACTAAATATAGATTGAGATTAATTTAACAAAAAAAAAAATCTACAGATTTTTTTCGTTTATGAATGCCATAATACTGCTCTGCAACAATTCAGCTATGTGTGACTAGCTTTAAAATTGTGTAAAAAATCACATTGATATCATGAGTATAGAGTTTACGAAGTATTTTAAAGGATCATCGATTGATTGATATATATCTTTTTATATGAATCGAGTCGTTTCATATAATTACAGCAGTTTCTTACTCTTTTTTACTCATTGATTTTACAGTTGTTACATTATAGATTTTCATTTGCGACAAATTTAAACTAATGTCATACTTTGTATGTCAGAACTATCTGTTACAAATAGATTATTTTTAATGAAGCATATTGGACTATGACGCTTCGTAGATGACAGTGTTCTTCTTATTCCTTAAACAAAATCGTTGATGTTTTCATGCTAGAACCTCGGCAGATTCAACAAGGATCTTGCATAGATTTACTATTTTGTTCTGAGGAAACTAATAAATATTGGGAGAAATGTGTAGCCACAAAATATCACAGGTTTTGACAAGATTTGAAACAAGATCTTTGCAGAAGTTTCTCAAAAGAACAAAAGTGAAATGGAAACATAGAACTTTGATCTATAGATCTTCAGTTTACAAACTGATCATCTTATCCGGCTAGATTCTTCTATGTTATTAAATATAAATTTGACCGTTAATATCTGAAAATCACTCTCAATTATTAAATTTGATCTGAACTTTATTTGAATCCAATTATAAGATGCAATATTTCATTTAAAAAGTTGCTTTTTGGTCAAACTTACTACAGTTTCGTCTTGATTCTCATCCAATTAAAAAGAACATTTTGATCTTTGTATTGTCATATATAATTTGAATTGAAAACTGGTTTTATGAGAATATTTGTCTCTTACTATAAATGGCTATTTAATAGAAAAATTAGTGCAGTAACTGAACACATTAAAATCTTAGTTTAATAATTTTTCAACCTTGATTGAGATATAAAATTAAAAAGATAAATAATTACCATGGCTCAAATCTTATAAAGTATTCAATATTTTTCAAAAGATTTAAAAGAAAATTTAGTAAATTTTCCGCTTAATCTTTTTATCTATTTACATAAAGATTCAAATCAAAATCAGAAATCTTAGTAGAATCTTGAATTCTTAAAATACAAACAAATATCTACTAAATCTCGAAAAACTCTTCACGTCAATATTAGCATTTAAATACTACTGATATTTACAGATCGACAATTTTTGATAAGTTCGAAACAGGAGACCGTTCAGATTCTGACGAAAATCTGTTGTCTATTTTCCCAAGATTCTAAACCAGATCAATTATAAATCTTGATACGAACCTGAAGATCAAATTTCAATTGGAATCTAAAGAAAAACCTGCAAAAATTTTAACTGCTGAATCATTTATTTTCTTATTAAAATCCTGATCATAGTTGACACTCTTTCATAAGGAACCTAATTCTCCATGCTTTTTTTTATTGTAACTGATCCTGTAGTATTCTGGGTAAAGTCTTCGTTCTAATATATTTTTCAAGATCCATAGTACGCACGAGAATAAATCCTAAAAAGGATTCTATTTAACTGTAAAATATCTTGACAACAGAAATTACCAATATTCAACACAGGATCTTGACAAATCTTTCAAGAACTTCTCAGGAAATGAACAAGATTGAGACTAAAATTAGTCAGAAACATGCGCATATATCCTATACAAATATTTGAATCAATTCTATTCAAAACTATTTTAATATCAATTTCAAAGTCACTAAAAAATTCGATTACAACATCCATTTACTTTTAAATCGAATTAAAATCTTCGATTGAAAACAATTCATGAAATATATATTGTCTCGAATTCAAATAATCACATATATACGCCACAGGAATCATGAATCAAAGCAAAACGATCTATGAATGAATGAATGAATGAATGAATGAATGATAAGTTTTTTTTTTTACTTTTAAAAATCATTAGTTTATCTTGTTTACAATAGTTTATTTAAAAGATGCTTATTCAATACATGAAATTAATGAACAAAATCTTGTATAATGTAAAGAAAAAAGAAAAAGAACAATAGATTAATATGGATGTCGATAAAAATTCATATTTATAAGATTGATCTAGGTTTGATTGTAAACGAAAAAAGAAACAATACTCTTGTTGTAAAATATTTCAAGTCTCTTTTGTATAAATACGTTGTACGATATTCATCCAGTACAATTCTGATGAAATCTTTTATGACATTTCATTAGAGCAATAGTACATTTGAACAAATTGTTTGATGTAAAATCTAACAATTAATAGAAAAGAAAATCATATAACAATATGTATAAGAAAATAAAAATAAAAAAAAAAAGAATTTCATTGTCTTATTTACATTCTTTACATTGTTGTTGTGTCAATGGAGCTGATATACCATAATTCCAAAAGCAAGATGAAATATTGATTGATATGACCAATAATAAAATTGCTACAAACAATGAAAGACGAAACGGCATTGCTATAAATGTGATGTTTCTAAAACAAAAATGTTTTCAAGATTTTAAATAAAAGAAAAATATCAAACAGTAAAAAAAAAGTCAATTTCACTTTATCTCGTCTTATTCTGATAGGTTGGAGTTTAAGGTATGTCATGCGTTTGCTGCGTCATGTACTTTTATAATAGTCAATACCAATGAGTAATAATGTTTAATAAATTTACAAATTGAAGTCAACAGAAATATATTCTGTATACTCTCACTGTTGTTTATTATAATATCTTCAATACTTAATTATTAAAAAATCTTGCAAAATAACATAAATTATCTCATATTGATGAGACATTTTTTGTATCGTAGGGGTCTTTATTCATATATGATTGATCAGATTGTTAATATAGTAAAAAAGAAAAGAGATGCATCTCAGAACGAAAAGAAAATGATCTGGTAAAATGGTTCTATGATTATTTTTTGAAAAAAAGAATGTACTTTTTTTGTTTCGAATGTAAGTACAATCGAGTCGGATGTGGCAGTATGCCAAAATTATTATTACGTCAAAACTATTACTCACCAATGGTTGCTACTATAGTTATATTAATTAAAAATAATAGCAATAGATGTGTTATTTAAGATATGTGAACGTGTACACATGTATGCCAGTGAGAAAATGCATTCATTTTTGTAAAACCGTAAATTTGTTATTTTTTTTTGTTATAAAACTGAATATAAAATTTCCAAGTATGTTCGATAGAAATGTAGGTTGTCTTAGCAAGCTTTGATCAAATAAGAAAAAGAAAAGAACGTTAAGCTGACGCTTTTTGAGTACTTCGTTTTTTTCTTATTGATGTGCTTGTTTGTCCTTTAGTTCCATGTGATTCATATGTTGGTAACTTTTGTTGAGTTTATGTTCCAACTTAAAAAAAACTAAATTAAGGGTTGTTTTTTTAGCTGACGTATTTTCGGTAGTAGAATGGTAATGGTTTCCTCTAGGAGCTTAATCTTTTGATGATCGGAAACACATGTATACGTCATGAGCTTTATGATCACGTGAAACTGATGTAATCATTTATAATGCAATTAGTTTTTGATACATTTGAATAAAAGAAAACGTCAAACAACAGGAGCTTCCAATATTATTATTTTTTTACGGGCTATGTTAAAGTCCTACGTTAAGAAATGAAAATGCTCGTGATGGAAAGGCATTCTATTTTACCAATGTGTATCTTTTGTTGGTAATCAAAAGATTAGTACGACAAAAATTTCAAAAATTTCAAAAATTAATTCTCAAATAAATTTTTCCTAATGCAGTTTATTGAAATGCTTTGCTCAGAACTGAATATCTTATAATATTATAACTGAATAAAGCAATTATGAAGAGACTTAGATGGTTTAGAAATTATGAACAAATACTCTTTAATGAATTGAAAGACTATAGACTTGAAAGAACTTCTTCTTATTTTTCAATTTCTTTTCATGAAGTGTCTACCTATGTGAATCTTTATTCATTAATAAACGTTGAATCAAACTTTGTATGTAATCAACATTAGAAGTAACTATTAAATTACATAAATGAATTATAACAATAATAATCATATCAAGATGTTGTAGGTTTTAGAATGCTCTAAAGAGTCATCTATATAAATTCAGAAAGTTATTTCAAACAATGCTAATAATTCTCTCTAAACTTTTGGAAATTGCTTTCAAATAATTATTAAATGATACGTTCAACTTGAAAATTAATTAAGTTTCCACAATTTCTGAATATGTTTTTTTTCTGCTCTGAGTGCCTCATTCAAAGTACTTTTTTCCCAATTATGTAGTTGTTATTACCCTTCCTTCATGTTATATAATATATATATATATTTGCTTTGCTTATATGCTCCAATGATTTATTTTATCATGATTCGAACAAATCAAAGTACTTCAATTGATATTTTATTCGAATATTGTCTGAAAGCAAAAAAAATATTTATGTATAACTTAGCAATGTTGCTTATAATAAATATCAATACAGATTGATTTCTTCTTTCCATAATCTAACCAAATAATTTCTATCCTTAATGACAAATTCATCTTTATCAATTAATGAGAAATGTGAACTTCGTTTAAGATCATTTATTTATAACTATACAAGAAAACTTTTTTTTATGCATTGTTTTTTTTGGAAAACGTTGATGTACAATGAAAAAAGATTTATGCCATTGTTTTCGTGGATGTTAAAGCACTCATCAATTCTTTGATAATGCTCATCAATGCAATAAAATCACGAAATTGAAGTGTACCATCATGATTTGAATCTACCATATCGAATAATGTTTGACCAACATATTTACTAAGAAAACCAAGACCCATCTCTTCAAGCATTATTTGAACATCTTCAACTGTTATTTTTCTATCATTATTTTTATCTAATTTTTTCCACTAAATAGAACAAAAATAAGAGAAAAATATATAGATGAAATGAGATAAATAAGAATGAAACTTACAAGAAAATACATTTGTTTAACATTTCCAAACATTCCAACTTTCGTTGGAATATTATTTGAAGGTTTGATTTCATTTGAAACATTATAACCATGTTCAGAAAGTACTTTTTGAGCAGCATTTAAATAACTATTTAATCGAACTTTAGAATTATTTGCTTTTTCAATAGGTTCATGTATATTGTTAGGTATTAAGCCTTGTAACCAATCATCTAAAGATTTTGGTGGTGGTTGTTCACTAAGATTTTTTGACCAATCAGTAAGCCAAGTTCCTAGATTACCAGTTACAGCAGAATTATCATTAGAATTAGCAGTTGTTTCTGATGTAGTATTTTCAGTAGACAAATGGATATCACTAGGTATCATGCCTTGCATCCAACTTTGAAGATCTGTTGGTTGTTGTTTTTGTGGTTCTTGTTGTTTAGGTAAAGGTGATTGAATTGTATCATCCAGACGAGGTCTTAAACCATTAATCCAACCTTGAACATCAACTGGTAATTGTTGTTGTTCTTGAGGTAATGATGGTTGAATCGAATCATCAAGACGAGGTCGTAAACTTGTGATCCAACTATGAATATCAGTTGGAGGAACGATTTGTTCATCTTTATGTGTATTATTTCTATCGGAATGTTCGAATTCTTTGATTAATAATTCTTCTGTTTCTTGATGAAAATTTTTGACATATTCTTGAACATCAGGTATACCTACATTGACTAGCATACGATTAAGTACACCATTATTAATATCGTTTTGAGTAAGATTTGCTAATTTTTCCATTTGTTTATTAACAACACTAACATCTACAACAATCGAGGTTGATATATATATATATATATATATATATATGTATGTATACTCGCCTCCGTTATGGAGAAAGATAAGAAAGTGGTGTGTATCATCACATTATCTGACATCATCAAAGAAAAGAAAACGAACATGATGTAAGAAGTCACTTAGTAAGAATTTTGATGAATCACAATTTTCTACTGTCTATGATGAATCTATTTTATTGATGAGAAAAAAAAAGTAATAACTATTTATCAAAGTTAAATATTGTATGATTAGATATTATAAATAAAAAAACAAAAAGTATCAATATTTAGTTTTTAATCTAGAACATCTATTGAGGCACTCCACCAAATTGACCGGATAGTTTATTTAAAAGAGTTACTAATGCCATAAGATCAGTAAAATCAAGTGAACCATTATGATTTTTATCAACTGCTTGAAATAAAGCTTTAGCTAAATCTAAAATAAAATAAATTATAATAAAAATTTTTATTTTATATCAAATATAAAATACACACATGGTGAAACAAATCCAAGTCCCATTTCTTGAAGATAAATTTCTATATCTTCAGATGTTATTTGTCCATCACCATTTTTATCGAATTGTTTATAAAGAGCATACATTTTTTGAGCATTTTGATATGTTGAACCTAGATAAATATTATTTAAATATTGTATGTTTTTTTTTAAATCTATAGTTCTTTCATACTAATATTATCAAGAAATCCTCCACCGCCGCCGCTACTCTCGCCTTTATCACCTGAAAACATTTTATATGCTTTCATTGCACCTTGAACCATATCAAGAGAATCATTTCCACTACTACGACCACCACCGCCACCACCGCCACCACCGCCACCACTGGTAAACTAAACAGATGAAAATTATGATTAATTTATTTAAACATAAATCACTTTTTTTTAAAAAGAATACTTGATTTAAGAGTGAACTTCCCATTGAAAATAGATTTGCCTTTTGACTTGATGCAGTACGACGTGATGTATCCTCATCGTCTTCTCCTTCTTCTTCTTCATCTTCATTATCACCACCTCCATGATGTTGAGCAACAGTTTCACGATTAGCTTCATTTCGAAATTCTTGAACAAATGAACCAACATCATCAATACCTACTTGTTCTAACATATTATTTAGCATTCCTCTTTGTAGTTCGTCACGACCGAAACGAGATAAATCCATTATGTAAAATTTCAATCTAAAAATAAGAAGAATATGAAGTAAAATATATTTATTAATCCAAACAAAAATAATACATACAGAAGAAGAGAAAAAAACAAAGTAAAAACAACACAATATTTATCTATGCGCTGCTTTTTTTTTCGTTCTATATTTGTCAATACACATGGTTTGAGTTGTTCTTGTTTATTTTTTTGAGTTTTTACGTAGATTAAAGATCAAGATATAAATAAAAATCAATAAATATTTCTATTCTATTGAATCATTTAATGTTCTGTTATTCTCATTAGATGAATAATTATTTTGAAATTATTATTGAAGGAATGTGTCTTGAATGGAAATTACATTTAAAAATGATTCATCAGACACATGCTTAAATATCAAAATATATTTAACCAATGATTTACGATAAAAGAAAGAAAAAAATGAGAGAAAACAAAATTGTTTCAAATAACGCACAATAGTAAATATCCATTAAACAAATACGTGTGTGAATTGATTAAGTAAATACTATTATGTACAAATTCCACGTATTTCAATGAATTAAGGTGGTCGCATAGCTTCAAATTTATCTTAGAATAAAAATCGAATATCATATCATTTTTTGTTAAACACGAACTAAAAGAAATGTTAAAGTATAGTCAAACCATAACAGACATCAGGTAGAGAGCATTGATCTCTTACTATCATTCGTGAATGATTAAATAAAAGAATTAGATGAAATATACTTCAAAAGAGATAGAATTAAATTATTACCTTATGACCGGCACTAGCAGCTATATCATATTTTACATTTTAATTCTGTAGAACTTCCTCTAATAGCCTGTTTACACAGCTGTCTGTTAAAAATAGGTTATTTTTCAAAACAAAAAAGCTTTATTTAATTGAAGTATTTCATGGCATGATACTTTTCCAATGCATAATCCTATATATGTTTTGTCTTTTAATAATAGGAATTAATAAACAAAAGATTTTTGTTATATATTTAATACATATTCAAATGTTGATTTCTAATGAATTTTTTTTTAAAAATTAAATGAATTATATCTTTTCTTATTTCTGTTTATGTATTGTTTTACAAACATTGAACAAATTTCTTGATATGAAACCTAAGAATATATAAGATAAAGAAAAACAAATAATTAAATAACGAACGTATTTCAATATGTTACTTACATTCTTATTTTGAAAGTAGATCAAAATTACAACACGAAATATCAACATAACTGTTTATTAATACCATAAAATATATAAATATCAAAACATGCTGAAACAAACTGGTGTATTAATAGCTGTAGGTTCTAAAAAAAAAATCATAAAACTCTGGCTTAATTGTGATTATTTGCTAAATATATACATATAAGTTTCGTATTATTAACATGTTATAGTTTTATTTCATCAGTTGAGATTTTATGTAAGAAATTCTCAATGAAAATATTTGTAAATTGAATAGATAAACTTAGTTTAAACATACTAATTGATTCTTATGGCTTTCTATTATAAGTCGTATCTATGGAACATCTACAATCTGTGATAATTGTCAGAAGACCAAAATACACAAATAATTATCGAATGAAATAGATCGTATATAGATCTTTTATGACATATTATTTATTCATATATCTCACTAATCCAACTACAAAACTATTAAAGGTATTGAATAATTATTGATATAATTATAGTATCCAAAGGAAATAACTTTAACTCAATGATTATACGATCAAGAAGAGAAACTATTCTCGTTAGCTGCATTAAAGCCGTTGTCGACAGCGTAGATTCAATAATATATAAATAAAAACATTCATATTAATAATCATAAAATAAAAAAGAAAAAGTACATAACTATTCATTTCGACGGAAAGATTTTGTTTTGTCTATAGATAGTAAAAGTATTTCTCTACACCACAAGTTAAATATTCAATTAACTACACACCCTACTTGACATAGTTTTACATGAAGTAAAAAGAATGTCACTCAATTTGTATTTAATCCATTTAATACTTACATGAAAATCTTCGATGATGAAACATCATTTATTTGCTTGTCATTGATAAAATTCTATCATTGAAATTACTGAATGATTAGATAAAAACTAAATACATCTACTCCTAGAATAGAATAATAAATTTATTCGTTATGCTTCAATGCAATTTTTGACTTTTATTAGTAAATGATTCATTGAGATACCTGTTTTGTAAAAACGTGTCATTGGATATTCGATTCTCCTATGAGAAAAAGATGCTGGATAATGTTTTAGTATTATTTTCAGAACAAATACAAGAGAGAACAATTTAGATATTTTATATTAAAAAAAATAAGGATGAATTGACAAAAATGGCCTAACCAGGAGATTGTGGGTGGTAGGATGGTGCACTATGATCTTAGCAGAAAGCCATGTAATATAATGTCGATGATAGTATTTTTTACGTCATTTTTTCTGCTGGTAGTAGAGCAATGTTCGGTCTCGTCGACCTTTAATTGTCAACGCGACAAAACACTTTTTCTTTTTCAAATATTATTATTAAACTAGTTTGAGGAAAAAAATTTGTTGACTGTTTCGAATGGATAAATAATTACTATCATTGTCAAAGTAATGCATTAACTTATTCTCATCGTATAGTTGTTTAATGAACTCATATCATTTTTAGAAATAGATCCTTATCAATATGTAACAGAAAAACAGAACACATAACTATTACAATGACATATTAGTTTCATATAAGAATACTTCTCATTTAAGAATAAAGTTTTATCAAGAGACGTGATTGTATATTTTGTGTTCACTACTCATTGTGATTAAGTATTAATTATTTAACTTTTTGTTTTGTAAATAGCATAGAGAGACTTTTATTCTTCTTTTTTTTTAACATTTTTTTTTTGACAATTTTTTGTACATGTTTTCTATTGAAAATTTTCATCAAAAAAATTCAATCTTGATATTCATTACTTTCACTGTTTAGCTAATGTAAAGTAACGAATGTTTATTTTAATATCAAATAAGAATATATAAAAAAATATCTTATTGATTATATCAAACATTTAAAAAAGAAAATGGCACAATATAGATAAACAAATACTATAATTATTATATAGACATTTATTCGATTGCCACAATTAAAACACTTAGTTTAGTTAAATAGAATAAAAGAACTTGATTTTATTTATATATTTCATTCTATGAAATTATTCTATTATCTTCAAGATCTATTACAGATCGTTTAGCCACAACAGATTCAATTTTATTCATTTTTGGTCGCCATTTTTTTGGACAAACAAATCTAGCATGAAGTCGTTGCTTAAAATCATTCGATACAAAATCTAATAAAATAAATTTAAAATAACAACAAGAAAAAAAAATCAAAATTTGATTACTAACAAGCTTTGCATTCATCTTCTGTTAATGCTCCAAGTAATGAATATCCATTACTCATCATTACAACCAAAACAATCATAATAATTAATCGAAAAAAAATTGACATTGTAATTTATTGAATATTCTAAATTGAATATAAATATAATATACTCAATAAATACTAAAGAAAATATCCAATATTTTATTACCTGATTTAATAGAAGTGTTCTCTTCGTCAATCTGTTGAGTGTGCCAATTTGAATAAAGTTAATGCACTATTTATATTCCATACTAAATCTAACATTTTGACTACATAGTTTAAATGTCATTACTTTCCATATAGAATTGTAAAAATATGCCCCCGAAAAAATGTTCTTGTGATATTCAAAGAACTGAAAAAACTAAATAACTTTTTTATATTCGGTGTTTTCTTGCTCCTATTCAGGATACTGACTAAAATGAAACGTGCAGACATTTGTCTGATAAAACTGTGAAAGAAGAAAAATGATAAAGACACGCCCTATGTTTATCAGACGATTTTTATGAATGATCGTTTCGATTTGATTATGTAAACAACTATATCGAGGTATCATGTTAAAAGATGATATTGCTCAATTAGAATATTTATTGAAGTTTGTTTTTTTCTCGAGTTATTATACAATTTTTTTGTTAAAACTATATTTCTTTATTCATATTTATAGGAGTGTTTCGAGTAGGACGTAATCACTTCTAACCTTGAAAACTTTTCGTTAGCTCTAACAAAGTCCCAATGTTTTATTGCTTTTTTTTCTCACTGATTTCCAAAAACAAGCTCGACCTCTCTTCCTCATAAAAACTCAGTCAACTTCAGCGAAAGACGTTCACTTGGCGTCTTGATCTATCACTCCTATCTGCCATTCTGCAATAAATGCCTTTATAGGAAAATGATTAAAATTTAATTATTTATTCTTCTTAATTTATGTAACATTAGAATTTCAAATAATCAAATCGATAACAATTTATTAGAATTAGTGACACCACTGTATCATCCTATTACTATATATAAATATCAAGTATCCTATCAAATATTTCCAACGTGTTTTTTTTTCTTTCATTTTGAAATATATTCCGTTATTAACAATAATTACTAACTAATACGATAATATCCAGGGATTACAAAAAATCGAACATTCATATACAATTATCGATAAAAATAGATATAAAAAGAATGTATTGTAAAATCATTCAATTCAAATTTTAAGTGAGTTAAGTAAAAAAAACAAAAGATAAAATACCAGTCAGAGTAGACGCATTTATCTTTGGTATGTCAAAATTATGTTCCAAATAAACTAAAAAAAGAAATCCAAAAAAAAATTAATCGACGTACTCTAGAAAGGCTGAACGGAAAAATATTGAAACTTTCAACTAACAAAAAATACATTTATACGATCATCATAATATCATTCACTAATATTATCTATACGACGTTGAATAGCAATTGTTTTGCTCTTGTACCAATAATAAACTATAGAAGATTAGAGTAAGGATTTATTGAAGACATAACTTTTTCTCAATATTTTTTCTTTCGAACTTTCTACGGTGTTAACTAATCAATCTGAGATTAATTCAAAAAATATGTTTCAGTTGATCAATAATAGTAGATGATCGGAAAGTTTTTTGACTCACTTGCAAGTATTTTCGATGATTCAGAACCTATGATTTTATGCTCTTTTTGAATACGAACTTAGAAGTTTTGTTTCAGATTTTTTTCGAGACTAGTGAAATAATCTTTGAACAGTCCAAAAACTTAATTTCAGCAGAAATTTTTCCCGCACATTTTTGTAATTTTATTTATATATCAGTTTGTAGATGAAAAGCTACCCTATAAAATGCACTATTCCAAGTTTCTTTTTATCTCTCGATGCAGCATCTCAATTTTCGTTTTCCACTAAATACTCATTTTTGAAAAATCGACAACCGTTTTACGTGGGAAGAAGCGCGTGAGAAAGTGTTTGTAGATTTATTTGAGTAAATGCTACGGTTTAGTTCAATACCACATTTGATAGAGAAGAAGTATCCACTCTGCGAAACGACCGGCTCCGACAATTTTTAGCATGTTCGAAAAACGGACTTACAGGATGAATAAAAATCTATTGGCTCATCATAAAAAAAATTTTTCAGGTCTATCAAAAAGTCTTTCAACATTTCTAACTCCATATTCAAAAAAAAGCATAAAATTCAAGTCACGACCTATGTTTATTGACTCGTCTGAAATACTTTCTAGCGGGTCAAAGTGATCGAAAATCTTGTGTAGAAACTTTACGATCATTCCTTACAATATAAACAATAACTAAAATTATCATTTCATTGATATATTTTATCAAAATACTATTGCACATCTATCGACAACTACATATTTTACAACATAGTTTTACCAAACACATTTTTCATCATCTTTGTTAGAGAGTAAAATTAATAACATTCATATAGCATTCTTTTTTTTTTGCTCTACTAGTAAGTTTGAAATTTTGTATAATTGTAACAAAATGAAATCTTTGAAATAAGTTAGTATTGAATTTCTTTTATTCATAGAATAAACAAAATTTACAATATGAAAATCATAAAAATATTAATATATACATGTAGATTTTCAATAAAAAACTGAATAATTAGAATTTTTTTTCTGTTTATAATTTTTTGAACTTTTTTTATATCAAAGAACATTTGGTACCATCAGACGATTAACTTTATGTTTTGTTCGCCATTTTTTTGGACAACTAAATACAGCTTGAAGTCTTTTATTAATATTGTTCGATGCCAAATCTAATCGATGCAAAAAAGAAAAAAAACGTTAATTAAGATATTAATTATATATATATATATATATGACTTACAAGCTTTACATTCCTTTTCAGTTAATGGACCTATATATTTCACGGCATTAACATTTATAACGAAAAATCCCAGAATAATCAGAAAATAAAATTTTGGCAGCATAGTTTGTTTTTTTTAAAACTCTGAAAGATATAATATGAGTATATATATATATACGTTCTTTTCATTCATGACGTCAAAAACTGTTGAGTGCGTATTTGCTTGAGTAGATACAAAATAGAATAAGTATACTACATGTAAATATGTCTTTTCTTTTCTTGAACTCAAAATGTAGACTGTCAATTACGGTAATCAATAAATACTTATGCATGAGTAAATCTATTA